GTGTGTCACCATGAACAATGGGTTTCAAGCTCGTCTTGCCTTCATGTCTTAAGCACGTATTCGATTGTGTGGAGTTCCTAAGAGGTGAGATCAAACGTTGGCTAAGCTTACCATAGCTAGTCTGGGCCGGGGGGGGGGGCAGAAGGTTTAAGCATTGTGAAGCACTATTCGACATGCCAGCGCATGCCTGCAATGTGCTGCAATGACCCAAACATCAAGAATCGACTGCTTGGAGGCCGATCCCGCAAGAAGCAGCAGAGCTTTTGAAAGGTCGACCCGAAAGTCCAATTCCGCGAGCTGAAAGGCGCCAAGCCAAACACAGAGAAACACCAGCTTTTGAGGCTCGACTCAGTGACAGTTCCAGGGTTCAGTTTCCGAGCCCGCTCCAAGCCCGCTTCCGTACCAAGCCGAAGTCATGCGCAGGGTCGTAGGCATGGCGAGCAATCACATGCTCAAGTTGCCTGGCCCTCGTGCAAGAGCCAAAGAGAAGCCAGAAGTCAGATGGCGTTGACTCAGAGGCGTGTTTGTTCATGCTTGGAGGGCCAAGTGTTTGATCTAAGTGTGAGCTGTTTGCCAGTTTCCAGCCATTTGTTTCCTGCTGTTTGTATGTTTGCCTTGCTATGCTTGCTTTGCCATTGGCATGCTTCAGGGTTCCGACGCGCCATGCGCAAGTTGGCTTTCCCACATTTGCCATTGATGCATTGTTAGCCTGCTTTGCCAACTGTTTCTTCTGAGCCTGCCTTTCTGAGTGCCGCACTTTCTCTGCATGCGTCTGAAACGGAGGCACAGCAATGGGGTCTGAGCAAAACACCCTGCGGCGCTGGGCGTTGCACATTCGTTGGCTGTAGCATGCAGTGTCACCTGAGTAGGGGGCTGCAAGGAACCTATTGAAAAGAGAAGGCCTTTGCCTTTTACCAGAGGCCAGCAAAAGTGACACAGGGAGGCGCCGCTAAGGAACAGCTTCAGCCCAGCGCTTGCAAGCGCTTGTGGTTTTCGACCTTCCAACGTACCCAGGAATGCGTGGACCAGCAGCAGTTGGCTTGCAGCATGCCACAACACAAAAGAACTGCCCTATGCACGTGCAGCAGCCACTCGTTTTGCGAGGCCGATGCTGAGCTGGAACGCGCGCTGAAGGCGCCACCTACAACATGTTGTCACACACACAGGGAAGCATGAGCATGGCAGATAGCATTTTATGTGCTGATTGAAGCCTCAGAGCTTTGCTCAGGTGCTTCGAGAGTTCAGTTTTGCGGACTTGCAGGAGGCACTTAGCCATCCTCCAAGCCATGCTGACCTGTAATCCATGCGGCCACTCGTGACTTTGCAAGAGAACATGGTCTAGGCCAAGTGGCCTGAGCGTGCTGCGAGTCAAGATGCGCAAGGAGTGGCTTTCACGGGTCGGTCTACTTGCCCCACCGGTTCCAGAAACCTCAGAAACGGGTTGACTTCAGACTTGAAAGCTTCGAAGTCACCTCTCAGGTTTTCCGAACGGCGGTTCTTTTTCGGTGCCCGTAGACGGCCAACGCAGTTTCTCATTTTGAGGCGTGTTCATTAAATTGGGATTGCTTCGGGGCATGTCACGCGCATGCCCTTGCCCACAGGAGGGTCGCCATGTCTGCGAGGTGCAGCGGGGCGCCGCCAGGCCAGGCGCAAAGTGACAAATGCAAAGTCCCCGTTCAAGAAATACATTGACAGTACCCAGCGGATTTGCTGCTCGGCCGGCTCAACGCCGAAGTGGCTGAAAAGCTGGCCATCCGTTTACGACCGAGAAAGCTGTTTGACCTGCTACACTGTGCTTTTTACGATGGAGCAGCTTTAGCAGGGAGGGCGTGAGGGGCGGAGAGAGGAAAGCGTTTTCTGTTGCCTTGCCCTATGCGTTCTTTTGGGCATGTAGCAGAATCAGAAAAAGTGTTGGGCAAACATAGGATAGTGAACTTTCACAAACTCTGAATCAGCTTTGGGAGGGCGTGCGGCCCGGGCGAGCACTACAGTCAAATAGCTTTTGAACAAGCGAAGCACCTTGCAAAGCGGGTTTTCGGAAAACGCAAGCGTCAAACCAACAAGCATGCCAATTACACAGGCCAGAGCCTGCACGGTGTTTTGCACAGCAGCTTTGTGTTTTTTCATTCGTTCTTTGCTCTCACATCGCATTCCACTCACAGCGGAGCTACTGCCCGCTCGCGCTTTCCGTCGTTTACGACCCGGCTGGTTTGCAGCTGCTTGCCGGTTCAAGTTCCAGCCAATCAGGTAATTAGCATCCGCAGCGCCCGCTGCCTGCCATGGACGCTTGCTTGGCAGAACTCTTTTCTATAGGCTGGGTTGCCGTAGATCTCGACCGCACATGGGCGTGCTGTTTGAGTTTACTGATTCTGCGGGCGGGGCTTCTGCTAAAACTACCGGGCAAGGGGAGCCCAGCCTGAAAGGTGATGTTGCCAGAGTCCTTTGCTCAGAGTGATGTTGCTGCATGGAACGAAAGCTGCATAGTTTTAACATCCTTTCAATTTGCTCCTAGGACTGGTGGACCTCGGTGGCCAACCTGTGGCACGAGCTAAGCCAATTCGACCCCTTCGAGGCCAGTTTTGTTCCATAGTCACAGCAGCTGTCCGCTCCGTCGTGCACAGTTGGGCACTTTGATTTGCATATGCTGCTCTCACACCATGCTGAACTGCATGGGCAACCATTCAGCCGTTTTTCTCTGATTCGGAATTCGCTTGAAGGCAAGACAATTGGCACGCTTAACCCGTTGTCTAGTTCCCTTTTCAAACATGGCAGGCCTCGAACCAAGCCAATCGCCCGTCTTTTATTCCGCCCGTTTGATGTCAGCTTGCGGGCAGGGCCTTGTGGTGGAGCTGGGGGCCCAGGCGCCCGAATTCTGGCCCTGTCGGCTTCGCTGGTTGCAGCCATTCAGTTGAGGAAAACAGACTTGCATGGCTTTCACAAACAAGGGCATACCCCCCACAAGTCTTAACCATGTGTTTCTTCACTTCAGGACCACAAATGCAGACTGGCTTCCATGATGGCACCTAGCTTGCCATTTTTTCCGCCCAGCCCCCCAAACTCGCGGCCGAGGAAGGGAAAGAAGAAGGAGTTTGGCGCTGGGTGGCCCAGGCAAAAGGGATTGCTTCAACTGCAGCGGCCCCTACGGCGCTGTCTATGCTTGTCCGGCTCAAAAAACCACGCGGCGCACGTAGATCACCGATGTTCCCTGCCAGTTGCGTCTGACGAACCTACCCGCAGGCCCTTCTTTGGCACATTTTGGCACACTAGTTTTTCCGCAGTGTGCAACGGCGATTGTTCATCAGGACAGGCTAGTTGTGATAGCTGCAACCACCACAGATATTGCTTCTGCCGGGCTGTTCTCTTGCGACTGTGTGACACTTCAAAGCCAAATGGAGGCACTGGATTGGCACGTGCCAGGCTCATGCCCATCTCCAGTTTCTGGTGAGGGGTCAGGTTGAGGGTCCACGGCGAGCTTTTGTTTCCATGTGCCATGTAGGCCATGGTCCGGTTCGGACAGACTAGTCTGGAATCAGAGGCTTGGACGCTGCTGGGAATCGCCAACAGCCCTGCCCTCCAGGCAAGGCACAACCTGGGGCTATCATTGGGTCATATGGGCTGGATTTCTAGAGGCTGGCTGTGCCTTGTACTTGGTTGCTTTGCCCCGTTAATGCCAATGGAATTCAGAAGGGCGATCTCGTGTCTAGGGTTGCTGAATGCTGTCATGAGCGCTGTGCTGCGTTGGCTTTCCCAGCGGCAGATGCACAATCAGACCAGAAATCTAGTAGCCGGACCAGCTTGTGCACACAAACCTGATAGGCAACACGGAAACCTGAAATGGATGTGGCGAGACCTTTCGTGCTTCTATGGCTTTTGCAACACACATGTCCGGAATGCAACCATGGCTTCCTTGAAACTGAAGTTTGCTTCGCGCATCTTAGGCGGTCATAGAGGCCAACGCCCGCAAGGCTGGATGATCGGATGGCGTGAGCAGTGCCAAGTCTGGGACTTCGGTCAAAAGAGTGTCCAACCTTGGGACACCTTAGGGTTTCGCCTGAAGTCTTCTGCCTGAATGCCCTGTGTCACGAAGGAGGAGGAAACGCTGCGCATTCTGCACCTGGGTCAGCCTATCGCCAGCGGTGCCTTCGGTGACGTCTACATTGCAGAGGTGGCGCCTGCTGCGAGGCATAGTGAAAGGGCTGACGCGATCACACCTTTCATTCACGCTTTTCCTTTGTTTGTAGCGGCCCCCGTGTTACTCGCAGGGAATGTGTTGTGTTGCTTTTTGCTTGGCCTTGCTTGGCCTTGCTTGGCCTTGCTTGGCTTTGCTTGGCTTTGCTTGGCTTTGATTTTGCAAACAATGTGGTTTGGTTGCTTGATTGGCCATGATCGGCCGGTTGGCGGGTGGGTTTGGTCATGTTAGTCCACAATCGATGGGCAGGACTTTTGGCTGGTCCAAGCCAGCCAAGCCAGCCTGAAACCACCCAAGCCCCAATCGGCCCTCAACGCCCACCTCGAGTGGTTTTGTTGCAACCCGCTCGCGAGTTCTTGGAGCCAGGCCTTTGGCACTGCCAGCACCCACGCCTCTGCTTGAACAAAGGCGCGGGCAACTTGCGTTTGGAGCTCTGTCCATTTTTGCCAGGATCGGCATGGGCGGCTTTGGCGAAGTGTTTCGTGGCAGCTTCGGTGGCCTGAGCATTGCCGTCAAAGTGGCAGCAGGACGGGATAACATATGGTAGCATGGACGAGGCAATAGAGAAATGCGGTTTCATGCGAAGCAGTCAGGACGGGGCAAGGGAGTAGGGCTCGACTGAATTGGCCAAACGGAGGCGGCCAGCTGCGCCGGGAAAGCCGGCTGCTGGCAGAGTGCGCGCACCCCTGCGTGCTCCAGCAGTACGGGCTGGTCGAGGTGTCGGGCCAGGAGACGGTCCGCAACCTGAGATAGCACCTGGTAAGGTCGTGAGTACTTCTTACCATTTCTTTCCTCAGGGCCTTTGCCTGAGGAGTTGCTGACCATGGAGCTCATGGAAGGGTCCCTGGCCGACATCGCCACCTTCAATGGCTGCCCTTGTGCGGATGTCGCCCATGTTGCGAGCCAGGCGATGCAAGCCTTTTCCTTCCCTCGCGTTTTGCTTGTTGCAGCGCTTTGCGAGGTGGCATCAGCCCTGCAGTTCCTCCACTCCCGGCGCATTGTGCACCGTGACATCAAGGACTTGCGCGTCGTCGCTTCGCTTTGTCGCTTCGTCCAGAGCCCGTCCGCGTCCAGGAGGATAATATACTCGTCACAGAGGTGCAGCCTCCTTTCCGTTGCAAGCTGGGGGATTTCGGTCTGGCCACCTTCTTGGAGCCGGGCCGCAAGCTTTCGAGGTCGGTTGGCACGCTGAGTGCCCCAGCGCAAAGCAAAGGACATGTGCTTCTGCATTTGGCGATTTTGGCGCTTGACCCCATTCGTGTCATGTTTCCCAAGTGACTCAGGTTATAAGGCGCCGGAGGTCTTTCTTGGCAGCTATGGGCTGGAGGTGGACAACTGGTCTTTGGGAGTGGTGCTCTACTCGATGCTGTACGGCAGCTTAGCTCTTATGATATCTTGTTGATCCCGACTGTGGTGGACTGATGCCCAGGGTGATGGAGTGCGAGCTGGCCGCAGTGGAACATGGTGAATGCTGGATGATGATGGCAGCGGGATGCTGCGAAATGCCGATTGCTGCCAATGGGTGGCTGATGGATCTGATAGATGCTGGTGGCTGCTGATGGCTTTCGTTGGATGATCATCGCTGCTGATGAATGCTAACGCATGCGTCTGGATGCTGATGGCCGATGATGGCTGCTCAAGGATGCTGCTAGCAGCTGGATGCTTGATGGATGCAAACGGGGTCTAAGAGCACACCAGGCTGGAATTGTACTTCAGAACCCTTGTCCAGTTGAGGTCAGCTACCTTGGCTTGGGCAAGCATACGACCACGCAGAGGCCATTCAGAGGCAACAGATTGAGCGCGATGCTCAGGACCACAATTTTGATCTAAGAGCTAAACCATGTACCCCTGGCACGTGAAAATCACACGGGCGTCGAGTGCTTTGCTTCAGGTGGGGCGGGTTGCCTCGCGCTCGGAAGCCACTGCGGCGCCTGGTGGAGCGCCTGCTGCAGCGCAAGCCGCAGCGCCGCTTCACCGCCGCGGACTTCCTGGCAGCCTTGCGCCTTGACGGCCCGGACGGCCCGCGCCCCCGAGGGTTCAACTATAGGATGGAGGTGTTGGCCAGGGGCCGAGGTCTTTGGACACCTCTGTTGCTTTCCCACGATATGAAAGCGATTTCGATGCAAGTTGTAAGGGAGGTCCAGTTCTTTGGTTGCAAGTGGGCACAAGCTTTTGCCAAAGCTCGAAAGTCTGCTAATTATCTTCGGGATCACGGTTTCTTGCCCCAGGCCCGGACAAATAATTGCAGACCTTTGCAAATATTCACACATGTTCTGACGCAGCCCGGGGCTTTGCGAACTTTTGGCCAACGCATGCAGCTGAGGCCCACGTGAGAGCTCAGATGGCGCGCGCACGTTGGAAAAGCAAGCGGCGCAGAGAATTCTTTGGACGGATCGAATTGAAGCACGTTGGCTTACTGAGAAACTCAGGCTTCGATGCGCAGAGGAGCCTGCAGTCAGAGCAACACGATAAGTTTTACCGAATTTGTTGGCACCTCAGCGTCCAAAGTGGACTGAAAGGAATGGTTGCAGTGGTCATCGCGCTTGATTTGGGACTTCGCAGAAAGCACGAAGCTTGCACGGCGTCCTGGTAGGGGCCCTCACTTGTGCGTCATGTCATGCCAATTGTTTGCATGGAGCTATTGCTGCCAGGAGGACGGAGGCATGCAATGGAGAGAGTGGAGTACTGATAGACAGGGACAGGCAGGCCGTGCATGGTTGCCGGTTCTCAATTTGAATCGTTGACGGGTCAACTCCATTTTCCCCTGATCTGGATTTTGTCGGAGGAGTGCGTGAGCTGCAGGGTGGTTGTCACCTCCAGTGCTTTCCAACACCGGAGCTCGCACAGTTGCATACGTTGTCGTGTTGCACACTGTGTGTGTTTGTTTTTGCTGCCTTGTGTGCGTGTGTGCGTGTTGTGTGTCTTGTCGGTCTTGTGTTTCATTCTTGCCTTGTGTGTGCGTGCCATTGGGCATCGTGACTGTTTTGTCACCTTTAATCGGGGGTGCGGGATTCCTCTGAATGGACACTAAATGCGTCGTACAAACACACCAACACACGAACACACGAACACACGAACACACACACACACACACAAACACACAAACACACAAACACACAAGCACACGAACACACACGCACACAAACACCCAAGCACACAAACACACAAACACACGAACACACGAACACACACGCACACAAACACACAAACGCACAAACGCACAAACACACCAACACACGAACACACACACACACAAACACACAAACACACAAACACACAAACACACAAACACGCGAACACACACAAACACACACAAACACACACAAACACACACACACACACACAAGCACAAACACACACACAACCACACGAACACACGAACTCACAAACACACAAACACAAACACACGAACACACAAACACACAAACACGAACAAACACACAAACACGCAAACACACGAACACACGAACACGCGAACACACGACACACACACACACACACAAACACACACACACAAACACACACGAACACAAGAACACACGAACACACACACAAACACACGAACACACACACACACCAACACACACAACACACACACACACACACACACAAACACAAAACACACAAACACACAAGCACACGAACACACACGCACACAAACACACAAGCACACAAACACACAAACACACGAACACACGAACACACACGCACACAAACACACAAACGCACAAACGCACAAACACACCAACACACCAACACACACACACAAACACACAAACACACGAACACACAAACACACAAACACGCACAAACACACAAACACGCAAACACACGAACACACGAACAGGCGAACACATGAACACACAAACACACGCACACAAACACAAACACACAAACACACGAACACAGAAACACTCAAACACACGAACACAAACACACGAACACACACACACAAACACACAGGCACACAAACAAGCAAACAGACACAAACACACAAACACACAAACACCCGAACACACACACAGACACACAAACACACAAGCACAGAAACACACAAACACACAAGCACACAAACACACAAACACACGAATACACAAACACGCACACACGAACACACGAACACACGAACACCCAAACACACACACAAACACACAAACACACACAAACACACAAGCACACAAACACATCAACACACGAACACACACACACACACAAACGCACACAAACACAAACACACGAACATACAAACACACACACACACAAACGCACAAGCACACAAACACAGAAGCACAAAAACACACAAACACACAAACAAAAACACACAAACACGCAAACACACAAACACACAAACACAAACACGCAAGCACACAAGCACACGAACACACGAACACACACACGAACACACAAGCATACACAAGCACACAAACACACAAACACAATCACACAAACACAAACAACCACACACAAACACAAACACATACAAACACAAGGAAACAAACGCACAAACACACAATCACACAAACACACGAGCACACGAACGCACGAACACACACACACACACACACCCAAACACACAAACACACACACACAAACACACAAACACACAAACACGCAAACATGCAAGCACACAAGCACATAAGCACAAACACATACGCACACGCACAAACACACAAACACACAAATACACAAATACACAAACACACCACAAGCACAAGCACAAACAAAAGCCCAAGCACAAACACAAACACAAACACAAACACACACACACACACACAAACACAAACACAAGCACAAGCACACAACACACACACACACGCACGCACGACCGCACGCGCGCACACACGTAGGCACGCACACGCACACACACGAACACACACACACACAAACACACCACAAGTACAAACACAAGCACAAACACACACACACACAAACAGACAAACACATCACAAACACAATCGTAATTACGCACACGCTGCAAACGACCTAGATGAGAGCATTTACTCATGTGGACCAACTACATCGCATAACAGGTGCCTTTTCTTTCGTGGGATATAGCATTTGGGGCCCTGCACGCCTGTGATCTTTGAAGACTTGCACAGTTTTGAAGAGGACACGATGCCGGACACGTAGACAGCAAGCCTTGCAATTATTTGATGCACGTCGGCAGACGTGCTAGCTAGCCGAATCTAGGCGCCGAGTCTCACTGAATTCTAAGGCCTGTGCACATCGAAAGCACTTTGAGCGGCCCCGAATTTGAGGAACTGCGTTGGCTCGCGCAGCTGCAGTCAGTGATGTTCACTCCTTGTGAATTGCACTGCGTGAGTGCTCTCGGCTCATCCTCCAGTGCCTCCAAATCCTTGATTGCATCCTGCAGTGGGCCTAGCGGCCTAGCGTAGTTCGCATGCATTTGTTGGGGAGACGTGGACGGTTCGGAGTTAGTGGGCATCTCAGGCTGGCCATGGAGGTTATTCTGTCGTTGGCTGGCTTCTCCGCAGGCGCCTAGATTCTGCTGTGAATCGATTGCATAGCTTTGGATTGGGTGTTTCGGTGTGTTTCGGTGTGTTTCGGTGTGTTTCGGCGTTTCGTTTCTGGAGAGGTGCGCCATCTCTGGCCGCCCTTGGAGCAAGCGCGGCATCCTCAGATATGCTTCCCTTTAGAGAAACCTATTCAAAGAAGCCGAGTCCTGCACGTATTCTTCCCAAGTGCAATGGGTTGCCCCCAGTTGGATTGCTGCAGTTCGTTCAGGTTGAAGCGGACATGGGAGGTACCATTTGTCAGCTGCGACATGTAAGTTGAATGCATTTTGTATGTGCACCTCAGCTGAGTGTGTCTTATTTGCCGGATTTCCGATATTTCCGGCTCTGCAGTCAGGGATGGCGTTCAGTCCATTGGGCCGTATCAAAATTATGCAGGCAATCCCGTGCAGTTCCGGGACCGAGCGCAGTCGCCGAGACCGAGCAAGGCAGCAAGTCAAACATCAGTATCATCAATGGCTTTGGCTAAGGCCGCGACTACTTGGACGCCAGGCACCATCGCCCAGCTCTCAGACGT